AAGATATATTTGATCATTGGATACCCAAGATATATTTGATATATTTTAATGAGTTAGATTTTAACCATTTTTGGTACCCAAAATAATTTAAAAGATTTCATGCTTAACACTGATTTACCAAAAAGATTTACTTATTTTCTTTCTAGTAAGTAAAAAGGGTAGCACATTCAAATTCCTCTCCAAATGCTCTTCACTAAAGTTTATTTTTGTTGATCCAAAAAAAAAAAAAAAAAAAGCTAACGCATTTTTATGAACATCTTAAATGCAATCAAAATTCAAAGAACAATTTGAAAAAAAATATTTAAAATCCAATTTGGAATAGTTTCGAACAGTCTCTCATTCTTCGGATTATCTTAACTATGATAAAAAAATCATTTAGAACAATTTGGAATAGCTTAAATCCAATCAAATTCAAACATCTTAAACACTAGAGAGAAAAATAGTTTAAAATCGTTACCAAGTTTGGAAAAAACCCTTAAGTTGTAATTTCACTATCCCAATGTTCAAAATTCTAAGATAATATGAAGAATGAGAGACAAAATTGGATAAAAATCAAAGTGAATAGAGTTTTCCAAACAGCAAAAGATGAAGGGTTAGTAAAAGTTATAAAAAATAGGTCATATGGGTTTCACCCCACAAAAAATGAACTTAAAAGAAGTAAAAATTCAACAAACAAAGAAGAGTTCACAAAATGGACCATATATAACACAATGAGAGAGAGAGAGAGAGAGAGAGAGAGAGAGAATATATCAGCAAAAGAACACAAGAAGATGGACAAACTTCAACTATTTCTTTATATTAACACATAATCGGAATAAGGCTCACAAAATGGATCAACATATATACTAGATTAAGTTGCAGAAAATGGAGATGGAAGAGTTTCGACTTTGTGGAAAGGTCTTTTGAGTAGTGTCGTAGGAGGGAGAGAAAATTGTCGGAGTCGCATTGGGAGAAAAACGTTAGGGCTTTCTCACAGGGGAGAAAGTAGGAGAGAGAAAGAAAAATAGAGAGAGGAGCTTTTTAGTCAGGACAACAACTGGTTGAGAAGGTTTCAAGTTTTTTCCATTAAATTATTCAATGGCTTAGATTAGTTTGTGAAGATTCAATGGTTAAGATATAAGGTGCACATGGTTTAGATTAGTTTGTGAAGATTCAATGGTTAAGATATAAGGTGCACATGGTAACACGACCTGGAAATCAAAAGTGACAAAATATTGAAAATAAAAAATCCTTATTTTTTGCAAGAAACATTTATGTATATTTTGCAAGAAATTGAAAACCAACTTACGATGTTGCTATAGGTTGTACACTAAATTTAACAATCTTTCATTTTCCAACATTATCATTTATCATGCTAAACAAAGAAGGAAAAAAAAATATTCAAAATTTTCCTTTTCTCACACTTTCCACTACTTCAATCCTAAAGTTTACACTAATCTTTCATGGTTGCTAGGAAAGCCTCCACGCTTAGCAGGAAGACAGTAATTCATGGATTATCTTAGCGTCAATACACTTTGAAAAAAGTATGCGGAGCAAATTCATTTTATTAAACATAAGCTTCATGTCGACTGCTTTTTAGCTAAAATTAAAATCATATACTTCAATTCTTTTTAGCTTTTCACACTTTTTTGTTAGTTGGAGTCTTTTTCCCATTATCTTGTCAACTGCTCATGCTTAAACAATGATACAAGTGAAGTTAAAAGCACTATTTGATTAGCATTTTTGGAAGTATTTCTATTGTATGTGAACTAATTTCGCTTATATATATATATATATATTAAAAAACCAATCAAACTAATGATTTACTTGAGATGGATATTTAATTCAACTAGAACAACAAGCATTAAACATTACCAAAAACACTTGAAATAACTATTTGCCCCAACTTACATACTGGGAGGTCCCACCATAAGTTATTACTTCATGTGAACATCACTAAATATAAACTCAGATAGAACACTAGAGGTAGCAAATAGGGTAAAAATCAGAGAGTATAGTTTTAGAAGAGGGATGATTTCAAAAATATCCAAAGAGAGTAAAAAATGGGGAAGAAGAGAGTTTTAGGAGAGGGTTTAGGGTTTCAGAATAATCAGAGCGAGGCATAATTTGTTGATTGCTCTTAAAAAAAATAATTTTTTTTTTTTTGTTTTCTTAGAAACCAAATGGAGGCTCATTGGGTTAGATTAGGGTTTTAAACAGAACAACCACTTAGAACCCGCAGTCAGTTGAGCTAGACGAAGAGAGACGAATGAGTGCAGTAGAGAAAGAAGAGAGCGAGAAGAGTAGGGGAAGAGATCACTCGAAGGAGGGAGTAGCAGAGGGAGAGGGAGCGAGAGAGACGAAAGAGTGGAAGTACAGAGAGGGAGAGAAAGAGAGAGAATACGTTAATATTGGAGATGGATGGTCAACCGGTTGCTCCGGTGTTCAATTTTTCAAAATTAAAGAATTCAATTGTCAGGATGTATTTGTGTAATCCAATAGCCAATAATTGTCACTGTCTTTGTGTGTGTGTGTGTGTGTCTCTTTTTTGAAATTGTGTAACTGTAACTCTTACTTGGCTATAGTTTTGTATTTTCATACAAGGTATATTGAATGTATATCATGTTTTTTGTTGTGCATTTTTCTAATGTTAATTTTTTTTTTTTTTTGGTGTAAACAGATACTTTTTCTCATGATGATGTCTTCATGCTTTGTCCCCATAAAAAAACTTGTTTCTCAATCACATTTTTGGGATTTTTTTTATATTTTTATTTTTATAAATCAATAATCAGGTTTTTTGCAGGTGGGAAGAGGGAGAGTAGTAGGTGTTGCAGGTGGTTTTTAGGTTGTCCCCTTAACCAAGTTTTTGGTTGTTTTATTAAACTTAATTTACTCATATGATCCCCTGTGTTTACCTTAGAAGTGCTTATTAGTTGGGTTTTGGATCACAAATTTTTCTTAAAGGTGGCAATTAGTTGGGTTTACAAATCAAGTTGTGAATTGGCTGATTCTTGACTGATTCATTATTGAGCCATAAATTTGTTAAAAAATATTTCATTTGTTTGGTTGTTTTGCTTGATTATTGAAATACATTGCTTTTTAATCAATATATAGATTTTCTAATTTATTTTACTTCTTTTAATTTTTCTTGCATTTTTTTCATTCTCAAAAGTGGCGGAGAGAAGAAGTAACCCAATATCAAGCTTTGTATTGCCCTGTAAAGGTATGTTAGTTGTTTTTCTTATATTTTAGAACAACAACTTTTTTAACTCTGAAATTGCTCCATGTTTTTTTTCATTATATTGGTTCAATTGCATTGATCAATTGGATGTTGGATAATGTAGAAGACCAAGAAATTTGGCAGCTTACTATGAAATGTAATCTTCCAAGGATGTAAGAAAATTGGTTGCTTACCCCGTTTTTTGCTCTAAATAGTTTGAATGCTCTCAATTGAATCTTATTAGATGTGAAGTTATAAAATATTTTGGATTGATTATGAAAAAATGTTGTGTTGATGTCCATTTTAAGTTTTATGTTTTTGTTATTTGGGCACAACCTTCGAATCAAAGTGTCTTCATTGTTCAAAGTACTCTATAGATGACTTCTTTGGTACCCAAAGGCATTATTGAAGTGGACTGCTTTGGTATTTGGTACAAGATTTTTCTTAGGATGGTAAAACTTTGATGCAAAAGTTCCCGTCACGAATCGGGTGGAGATCTTCTGCAGTTTACTTTTGTAATGGAAGATCTCTATTATATCACCTAAGAATTATGAAATAATTATGAGAATTTATCAATATTTTAAATTTAGCAATCACCTCATTAAAAAATAATAACAAACAGAAAAAAAAAACACTACTAGAATCAACAGGAGAAATATTTTCATAAATGTTTGAAAGGGCCTACCTAGGTACAAAAGGGATAGAACAACTGAAACAAAGGATTAATTGTACCATGTCCTTTAAGAGATATGGTAAATCCTATGGTATGCACCCCCAACACAAAAGTGTGCAATTTTATCAAAAAATTTTATAACATTAACTATAAAATGTGTAATCTCACCATAAATTTATGTTATAAAATGTTTAAAATTTTGCGGTTGATGTTGCAAAAATTTGTGGTTTGGTTACGAAATTTTTTGTTATGCCAATTTGTGGCAAGATTATATATTTTGCAGTTGATGTTACGAAATACATACACATACAATATTGCAAGTGTACATGCATGTGCATGTGAAGCAAGGTAGAATAATGAGATGAAACTCAAATACAAAGATTAACTACAAATTTCATAAAAGAGATACTTTCTTTTGAACATATATTATTTCTCTCAAAATAAGATGCTCTGCTCTAAGACTCACTACCATTATTTATAGGGAACAAGCCCCAATACAATAGGAGATAAGCTAAGGTAATACTCACTAATCAAGCCTAAATCAAAGATAATATGAAAATTACCAAAAATAGAAAGACTTGAGTTAATCTCAAAACTAGAAACTAGAATAAAAATTACATATTTTGGGAAAAACCAAACCTCAGACAGATTCGTTTACACCAAGTAATTAACGAATCAATTATTTTCAAAAACAGGGAAGTCACGAAATTGGAGACCTAAATATTAGAATTTGACCAAAATCCATTGTACGCCATGGCAAATAGATGGAGATTGATTGTGACATCATTTTCAATGTTTCAACTGAATTCTACATCATTCCGAGCATGTGCTAACTCACATCTACTAGTGCCTCTTGCCTTTGCTATGTTTGTCAATGGGTTCTAGAAAACTCTATGGCCAAACACTCTGCATCAACATGTCAAATACTTTGGATGTGAAGGAGTTGCTTTCTGATCTTATTCAGCTTGACAAGAACCTTTTTAATGTCACTCCTCTCCACAGGTATGTCACTAGTGCACTCTAAACCCAACTCTAAAATAGCAAGAAGAATGCTTTTTGAGGTAACCATGTAACCATGTAACCACCATCCACTATTTCCATAATTTTGTTGGGAAGTGATGCGCTCACCTATTGCCTTAAATTAACCTCTGCAGAGAACATTTTATCTGTGGGTTTCTTTCTTGTGAATGTTTCCAAAAGCATCACACCATAGCTATATATATCACCATTTGTTGTGACTTGTCCTTCGGAGCCATACTCTGTATAAAATATGAAAATTGTTATATATCACTGATCTTCATTACCATTTTATATTGCCATCTATATGGATACTTATAATTGATTTCCTTATTTGAAGATGATTATGAAAAAATTAATGAAAACAACTAATATCTTGCCAAGTATCCTAGTCATATAAAACGGTGAAAAAAAATAGATGATATATAACATTTTAAGGAGGTAGCTCAATTAAGCAAAATATTTTATTTCAAAATTGGTTAAAATGATCGATAACATACACACCTATGATCCATAAAATATGCATTTTGTGTCACTTTAATATACCAAATTTGAATTTTTGTCGATAAAGTTTTTTAAATTTGAGTCAAGCTTCTCCAATTTCACCCAACGGTCTAAACATTAACAAAATAATAATATAAATTCATCTGTGGTACCAATAGTATGTGTGTCATACCACTTGAGTCTCTAAAATTTTAAATTTATCAAATTTATCCAATAGCATTGTAAGGCTATGCTTTGTCTTCTTAATTAGTGTTTAGTGACCAAAGCAACAAAATTGAAGACTTTTGGAAAATAAGTGACATGAAACACACTTCGAGGATTATAGTTGTAGTTATTACTATTTTAATGATTTAAACAATCCCTTTGAAATTAAACCAATTTGTTTGAAATTGAAAATTTTAGGAATAAAATTGACAAAATTAAAACTCGGGCGATGAAAATAACATGACAGAACATATATTTTAGGAACTTAGTGTATTTTACTCTAAAATGATTCATTGCCTCGTATTTTCTTCTTCTTTTTTTTGTTGGCTAGATAATCCTTTAACGTAGTAATCTAATTAATCTAGTAATTAGTGTCAATATTAGGCATGTGGTTCAACATTAAAGTTGCACTGAAAAGTCTAAACCTATCTCAACTTGACATTGTTCTTGATGAAAGCAATATATTGGCACTTAACAACAGCCATCTACGGTATTTTTCGGCGAACTTAAAACATAAAATTTACATTCAAGACATGCATGCCAAACAAATTAATAATAAATACATAGAAAATTGATTTGTAACAAGTCTGTCAAATGAGAAATATAAAGTAAATAAAGGTAATTAAAACATTTACCTGGAGCAATATAGCCAATGGTACCTAAAGTCTTGGTTTGTATTGCAGTCTTGTTTTCAGCTAAAATTTTTGCAATGCCGAAGTCAGCAACATGTGCAACCATGTCTTCATCTAGAAGGACATTGCTCGGCTTCAAATCATAATGAACCACAGGCTCTAATTGACCATAATGGAGATATTCTAGAGCTAATGCTACATCAATCATGATGCCAATCCTTTGAAGGAGATTAAGGCAAGAGTTATGAGAATATAACCACATTTCAAGGCTTCCATTAGACATATATTGCAAAACCAATGCTCTTAACTCAGGATTAGAGCATGCCGTTATAACTCCAACGAGCTTTCTATGTCGAGTTGTTCGCAACACTTTACATTCTACTTCAAAACTTCTGAAAGCTCCTTCAAGTTGCAAATTTAAAACCTTAACGGCAACAATTGTCCCATCTGAAAGTATACCTCTATATACCGAGCCATAGCTTCCTACTCCAAGCAAGTTGGCTTCGCAGAAGTCATCTGTGGCTCGTCGAAGCTCTAGATATGAAATCATTCTGTGCTTTGTTGTTGCATATAAATCTATCAGATTTTCACTTTGGACATTGTTTCCATGATTTCTTTTCACAATATACACACCAATAGAAAAGATTAGCATCAATGCAACGATAGGAAGAATGTATCGAAGATTAATTTTAATCATCGACTTCTTGGAACTATTGCTTGCACATGGTGGCACTTTCAAAATAGGATACCCACAAAGTGCTTCATTCTCCATGAAAGACCGTGATGTGAGGTTCATGAAAGGCCCTTCATTTGGAATCTCCCTAGCCAACTTATTGCAAGAGAAATTCATGTATTGGATATGTGAAAGTGCCTCAAGAGATTTAGGTATCTGTCCAGATAGATTGTTGTGTGAAAGATCCAAGTAATCCAATGTTATCAAATTGCCCATTGTGTTGGGAATGGGTACTGAGAATGAATTCCTAGACAAGTTCAAAGAAGTTGGGCTTTGAAATGACCCAATAACTCTCGGAATGCTTCCTGAGATTTGATTCCAAGATAAATCCACGATTTCCAACACTTTTGATGGTCTTATGTTTGGATCTTGGCTTCCACCTAATGAATTGAACAAAAGATTCTAGTCCCTTAAAGTTTCAAGGTTCCATAAACTCGATGGTATGAAGGTCAATTTATTATGAGAAAGCTTCATCACCTGCAAACCTCTAAGATTTTCAATGCAACTTGGGATCGATCCACATAACTTATTTTCCTCTGCATAAAGTTCCCCTAAGTTGGTCAAAAGGCAAATCTCATTTGGAATTGATCCATGAAAGTTGTTACCGCCAAGATACAACCTTTGCAAGCTTTTAATATCTCCAAGAGTTGAGGGGATGTTTCCATCCAGATTATTGCCAGCCAATGCAAGTACAGTCACATTCCTCAAAGAACCAATCTCTTTAGGAATTGTACCAATTAGTGGATTTCGAGAAACAGAAAGTATTTCCAAAGAGTTTGAAAGATTTCCAATAGAATTGGGTAGGATGCCACTCAATTTATTTTGTCCCACTACCAACTCCACCAAGGAAGTACAATTTGTCAAATCTGTGAGAAAACTAAGTTCAATACTTCCTGGTTCATTTGTCAGTTGATTTTGAGATAAATGCAAAAGTTCTAGGTGTTTTAGATCGCCTAAATGTTTTGGTACTGGTCCAGTAAACAAGTTGGCAGCTAGAATTAGCTTAGTGAGCTTAGAAGAATTGCAACGAGATGAAGGGATGTTTCCAGTTAGTTGATTGGCATCCAAATGGAGGACTTCAAGATTAGGAAGGAAAATGCCATTATTTGTTGGAAGGTTTCCAGAAAAGGCATTCGAAGTCAAGACAACTTGAACCATTGAAGACTTCTTAAAAATTGCAGGAGGTATTGGGCCTGTGAGATAATTGAATGCAAGGTCAATTACCTTCAAATTTGGAAGTTGCGCCAATTTAGTTGGGACGTTTCCATAAATGTGATTCACATCTAGCCCAAACCCTTCTAAGCTTGAAATGTTGCCAAAGGAAGGTGGAATAGTACCTATAAGTTCATTCTGTCCGCAGAGCAAGGACACTCAGAGAGGGTAAGGTGCTCAACTCTTTCGGAATTCTACCACTAAATTTATTACCCGCAAGAGATATCACTTCAAGCCTTTGACAGTGGTGTAAGCTCAATGGGATCTTTCCTTCTAACATATTAAGATATAAATAAAGGGTTTTTAGGCGACGCAAATGGCCTATTTCATCTGTCAGATGACCATAGAAGCTATTGTTGCTAATATCGAGTATTTCTTTTGTCCAGTTACTCAACACATTGTTGGGATCATTTTTGATGGATGATTTGAAGTTGAGCAGAGCTAATTGATCAGTGAAGTTGGAGGAACAAATGGCCAAATCAACCATGCATAAGTGCACTCACACTCCCATAAGAGAAGCATTGTACAGCCTCCTCACGGACATGATTGAGAGAGAGAGAATGCTTAAGTTTAAGCTTGTGAAAATGTACGCTCATAGTCATATCCATACATTATATATAGAGTTTTCCATGTAATCTATTCGTCAATAACTAACTATAGTTAGATTGTATTGAGTTTAGAATTAGTTAGAACTAGAGTCAGGTTAGATGGTTATGGTGGTGTATATACCTGAGGGATGTACATTGTATAGACTTGAAGAAGTCAATACAGATTTTATGTTTTTGTCGCTTAGCATTGGCCACATGACATCTTGTGGGTAATGTTAAAGATGAGGTTTAGCTTCTCAAAAATTTACATCTCAATTTGGGAGAGCGTTTTAATTAAATAAGTCTATTTTTTTTTATTAATTTCGGTGATGTGAATCATAAAATTTTCACACAAAAAATCAAAATGGTTAGACATTAATAGCTATATTTTTGAATTATATTTATTTTATAAAAATGGATTACAAACATACTTTTAAGAATACTCATTTTGATTCATACATATAACTACCAATGTCTATTTATTTTGATTTTTTACATAAATATTTTATTTAATGAGTCCTAAAATATAAATGACTTAATCAACGAAATAAGACCTAAAATAGGCCTAACAAACCCAAACGTTTTTTCAAGTTGAGATGATCAACTTGAGAGAAGTCAAATCAAAAAATAATACATATATTGAGAAGAATGCCTTCTAGTCCAAAATTTGGATTGGAGGGCACTATTTGAGCCCCGTGATTCCCATCACGGGTTCTATTTTAATGATCCGAACTGTTCATTTTGTCAGGCATTTTATGTATTTCAGTTACAAAAAATAAAAATAAAATTAAGTCGATCTGTTAATTGTAGTATATTTAATTTATCGTATTTGTCACAAAAAAATAGACAACAATTGTATTTTTTAAAATAAATCATCAATTTTTATAGTGACAAACGCAATCAATTAAATAAGTTATAATTATCGGATTGACCTAATTTTTTATATGGATAAAATACACAAAGTACTCGACAAAATGAACAACTCAGATTATCAAAACAAGACTCATACTGGGATCCACTGGCCCAAACAACGCCCTCCAGTTTATTCCTCCTCATATATATATATATATATAATAAAGGGGTCATGCTATTATACATAGATATCTTTTTCGGGATCTATACCATATACAAATTATGACATTTGTGATGTTGAGTTTTCTTTCTTTTTTCCTTTTTTTTTTTTTTTTTTTTACCTGAAATGGAAATTAGGGGGATTCGGGCTCCCCCATTTTCGGGGGATGAATCACTACCCATATATATAATAAAGGGGTCATGCTATTATACATAGATATCTTTTTCGGGATCTATACCATATACAAATTATGACATTTGTGATGTTGAGTGTCACAAATGTCATAACTAAATTTTTTTAGTGATAACTAAAAAAATAATAAGTTACAACCAAACACACATAACCAAAGACATTATCGATCATAACTAAAATATAAGTAACATCAAAATAGATCATAACCAAAAATCTCAAATATCATAATTGGAACATATAATACAAACCACATTTGTAATATAGAGTTTCTCTCTTTCTAATAATTTAAACTTTTAGATGTATTAGTAATTAATAATTCAATATCGTGTATTAGTATGAGAACTTTTAGATGTGTTGATAGGCAATTCAGTATATTGTGTTTCATCATCACTATTTAATTGATAATCACATTGTGCGATGAGCAAAGTTTGATCTCTTAATAAATAGGGTCCAATTGTAAGTCGAATTAATATCAAGATAAATAAAATTACAAAAATGATTTAATTTTTTGATAAAATTATTTCATTTTTTATATCCAATTTTATTCTTTACTATTCAAGTTGCATTTTTCTCTAAATGTATTTTTTTCCCTTATCTAGATCTGACGGTTGGGAATAATTTTTGAATATGACACTAAAAAATTACCTTTTTATCATTAAAAATAATAATGTTAATAGCACTTACCCCAAATCCTATATTATTGTACTTGAAGACAAGCAAAATTTATGTACCTAAAAAAGAAGACAAGCAAAAGTTTGAGTAAAAAAAAGGCTAGGAAAATTATGCAAGACATGCAGGTCACCACCATGTCACCTTTTTCAATCAAAACTTCAATGACAATAGCTAGCACAAGAAAGTTGTGGGGAGAAATTTGGAAGGAGAGCCACGGCTTGTAATTCAATTCAATGAATTCATAAAAATGCCAAATGGGGTCAGGGGGGTTGTACTTTTATTTATTTTTAGTTTCTTGATCAAAGAAAGTAAGAAACCAGAACAGCACAAGGAAGAGAAAATCTAAGAAAAATTAAGGAAGAACTCCAGAGCAGCTGGTGGATTTCCAACCCAGTTAAGAGGAAGACAGCCATGAAAGGAAGCTTGGGCCACCTAATGAGTAGCTTTGTTGGCAGTTCTAGGTCTCCAACGAAAATAGAAGTGTCCCTGAGTCGCTAATCGCTTGATGTCCTTGATAATGGCTCCACACTTCCACGGCGGGATATCTTCAGAGGCGCACAGGCGAATAACATCCTTGTTGTCCCCTTCGATCTCCACCGAGTTGAGGTTACAAGCAAGTGCTAATTGACAGGCACTTCTAAATGCTAATGCTTTGCCTTGCAACGAGAAAGTGACCCTCCAACTACCCGTATGTCCATCAATCAATTTTGCCCTTGCATCTCGCAAAAGAACCGCGGTCGAAGCCAAATGAGATCTCTTTTTTAGTCCCACATCACAATTTATTTTGAAGGACTAGTGTTGGGGGCCTGCCAGCCAGTCACCCTTGGTAAACAATCTAGCGAACTGTGGTGTTGCCTCATAGCCCCAGAGACAATGGCTGAGTCAAATTACTCCTTCGCCACTTGAGCTCGATATAATGTCGAAGAGGGCTCCATAGGATGATGGTTGAAAACCAAGTTGTTTCGATCTTTCCATATATACCACCCAATCCACACAACGAAGCTAATAAGAATTTCCCACTCTTTAACTGAGTGAATTTGCTCTAACAGGTCATAAAACCAATGTAACACCGAGCAACTAGGTCCTCTAACAACTAGGAACTTGAGATCACATCCAAACCAAACTGCGCGGACCCATTCACACCCAAAAAGAAGATGTTCAATAGTTTCAGGTAACTTCTGACAAACCGGGAAAAGATTCGTAGCAGCACATCGCCTCATATACAAGTCATCTTTGTAGCGAGCCCATTTTTACACACCCGCCACCAAAAATTTTTGAGTTTGGGAGGAACCTTTAAAGCCCAAAGCAACTTCCAAAAATTTGTAGGTGGCTGAAAAGAGGTAGAAGGAGTGAAAGAATGACACATGCTCACTTTAGTTGAAGCTATAGAATAATCCGACCTTACTGAATAATCGCCTTTGAACTCAAAATGCCAAACCAGTGAATCAGCCGTATTCTCCGTAGCTATTGGGATTAAGCTAATAGCATTAACTTCGGCTTCAGACACCAAATTTTCCAAAGACTCAATCATCCAGCTCCTCGATTGGGCATCAATAATATCCTGTACATGTTGAATCCCAGGCCCTTCAGGTTTCAGTGAAATTACTTTGAACCCAGGAATGGATGGGATCCACTTGTCTTCCCAAAAATTGGTTGCAGCCCCATCATTCACTTGCATCAAACACCTTCTTGAAGCAGTTGACGGCCCTGAATAATGCTTGCCCAAGCCTATGACGCTCTCCTCCCATTGGAAGCTTGCATGAAAGAAGTGTTGGGGAAATAAATTGCTTTCAACAGGCGAGCACAAAACGAATTTGGATACTTCAATAATCACCATCCTTGACGAGCTAAAAGCACCAGATTGAAAGAATTAAAGTCTCTAAAACCCATACCTCCTTGATGTTTCGGCAAAGTCATATGACCCCAATTTAACCAATTAATCCCCTTTCCCTCTGATTCACCCGTCCACCAAAAATTTCTAATGTAAGAATTGAGCTTAGCACATAATTTTTTAGGAAAAGCAAAGCACACCATTGCATAAGATGGGATAGCCTGAACCACTGCCTTAATCAAGATCTTCTCAGCTTGTGACAATAGATTCTGTTTCCATCCTTGCAATTTGGAGAGGATCTGCTCAATTATAAACTCATAGGCTTCCGCTTTTAATCTGCCCCAGAATTAAGGTAATCCTAAGTACTTCGAATTGGGATGAGAAACACTGGGGCCAGCCGCAGTGCTAATAGAGGAGCTAACTGTGAAGGGAGTGATGGCGGAAAATTGGACACTAGATTTCTCAAAACTTACCAACTGACTAGAAACTTCACAATAGATCTTTAGAATATCTAGCACATGTCTGCACTCAGCCACATCAGCTTTTAGAAAAAGAAGCACATCATTCGCAAAAAGAAGATGGGACAAGGTAG